GAGTCCGACTGCAAGAGCCGCGGCCAGGGTGAGCCTCGGGAGCCCCCCTACCTCCCCCTCCCCGGAGCCAGGCCCCCTCTGACACCCCTCAACCGTTTCCCCTTCTCTTCCTTCGAAGAGCGATGCAGGTGCAAAAAGACAAAACCTACGCTGTCGACCTACCTGGCCAAGAACTACAGCTACAGTAAGTGCATGGGGGAAAACGCTTTGCGTTGCCCATCCCGGCCCCCTCTGCGCCCCCCGTGAATTAGGCAGCTCCATCTGGGTGCTGCACCCACGCCAGGCCCCATCCAGCAAGTGCGGCGTGAGGACACTGCTCCACCACAGCCTTTCCAAGTGGGTTTTCGCCTGAGGACACCTTGCTGTCCTCTTCCAAAACCCACCACTTGCGCACACGTCGTGCAGGCAGTAGTAGTCATTGTGCAGATGATGGTGTGTTTCTGATAAACGCAGTGAAATATCGGTAATGTGCACTGGCATCAACAGGTCGCTCTGCAGAAAGGGTGCTTGCTACTGTAAAGGTCACTCTAGTAAGTGCAATTAGGTGTAATGTGAGCATGACCATGTGCTGCTTGGCCAGCTCCTGTTTTCATCCAGCAGGTGGAATAAATAGAGGTTTATCACCTAAATAAAACTTGTAAATGTGAACGAAGCTGAAGCAAAGTAAAAAGTTATTACTTAGAAATTCATATATTCTTTTACTTAATAGCCAGAGTTTCATCTGGTGCGGAATTGTGAGAGATTAATTGAATTCAGTGACAATTTTCACCACCCAGCCAAGGAGTTGGCCAATAGTTTTACATATGTTGCATGACATATTGGCAATACAAGTATTTGCCCGCTTCCCCCTTGGTTCCCTGCGCGCCCACCCCCCAGGTTTTCTGATGCTGGAAGTCAGGAAGAACTCTAATTAAGACTAGATAAATACCAGATTAAACGTCTGTAGTGTCAATAGAAAACCCCTATTAACTATGAATTTAACATGCGGTATCATGGGCTTTTGCACTTTACGGGCTTTTTCTCAGATGACAGTTGTTTCTTCAAGGGATTTATTCAGTTCTTATGCAACAGGGTTATTATATCCATTCAATTCCTATTTGTCTGATATCAAATGAAAGTAAGTTTGAAGTTATTTGCTTCTGTGTTAGTATAGGAAAAAAAAAATCCAAACCCCAGTTTGGTGGGAATAATCAAGCTGAGCATCTGACTTAAGTTATTGTACACTTTTTTTGTTATGGCATTTTGATGCATTTATATCATACATTCTTTTTATATAATTCCTTAATCTAGCTCAGTACAACATAGTGATAAGTTCAGGTGGGACAATGAACTTCCACACTTGTCCGAAATATATGAAAAAGCAGTGATATAAAATGACTACTCCAAAATGAAATACAGGTGTTAGTCATACAAATTCTGATTCCAGTGACTTCAGTGGGTGTGTTGCTTGAATAAAAACTGTAGGTTGGGGTCCAAAATTTAATTCCATTGAATTTGTGAAATCAAGATTTTGTTTTTGAGAGGTAGATTTTTATTCAGCCTCTTCTGAAATAAATAGACATGCTTATATGGAAAATTAATTGAGAGACAAGACAAGGCAGAACAAGTTGCAAATAAAATCCATTTTTTTCTGAAATCTGTTAAAGGAATATATACAGACAAATTGTATTTCTAGCTGGTCAGAACTTGGTTTCAATCAGACTTGAAAATGGATTGCAAGTCTCCAAAACTGAAATCCCTCATGTGTTTTGTGGCTGTTACATATGTCTTGATAAAGTTAGCTCATAAAACCCGGACTGCATTAAAATTGCTGTTTTCTACATGTGAAGTTTATTCCAAATGTTACTGCTTTTGACCTGGTGGCTGGCAGGGGCAGCGTCGATGCAGGCTGATCACCCTGTGGTACATACACTTCTCATGCTTCTTTGAAGAATTTTGTGATAATAGGACCCTTCCTACTTTGACATTTCCTAGAGACAAAGTCCATCGTGTAAAAATCGTGCTTCATTTCTCTGATTGTACTTCTCACAAGAGAGAAGGGGTGAAATGCTGCAGTGGTAGGTACTGCCAGGGTTCGCAGGTACAAAGTTAGCCAGGGATCATCCTCAGAGCAATCTACACAGTTTCACCTTCTAGCATCCATGCAGTTTTCCTCAATAAAAGGTAGAATATGAATGTTTGTGTATTCAGGGTCAGAAGAACCCATTTCTAAGTCTGTTTTATATGAGGATCTTACTATTGATGGATAATCAAAGGCAAAAGATGAAAAAAAGTATAGACTGAGTAAATCACGACAATCCTAAGCCTCTTAGTTTTTCACTACTTGTTTCAAACCTTCCCTTCTTTCTTGTATTTAGGAAAATACTTTAGTTCTTGGATGCAACCTACAGGGAAATGATTTTATTATTGGAAAGACTGAATTCACTGTTCCAATTCATTACTTAATTGGAAATAGCCAGATGTGGCTATAGAATGGGTCCGATTTATACGAGGGGTTGTTCAAGTCTGAGTCAAAGGAGCTGTTTGTGTGTGTGATTCCAGGCGAGATCGCTTGGCCTGATCTGGCAAAGATTTAAGCACATGTTTAATTTCACAGTTGTCAACAGTCCTACTGAAAACCAAATCGGGATCAGGCCTCTGTTATTCTAAGCCACTGTACATGCCCACACATGAAGAAGTAGTTCTAGTTTCACAGCCGAAACAACAGCTTTCAACTTAATACATTTTATTTAATGTTGAAATGTGTTCAAATTTCCAACACTGTTTGTTGTTCCCACGCCTCTATTTTTCTAATTGCAGTCATCCATGCTAAAGTAAAAAGCGTAGAAAGAGGGAACTGCAACGAGGTAACGACTATGGTTGAAGTCAAAGACATACTCAAGTCTTCGACGCCAATTCCTCTGTCTCAAGTGCCTCTTCTTACAAACTCCTCCTGCCAGTGTCCACCTCTTCAACCGAAGCAGGACGTTCTCATCATGTGCTATGAATGGCGCTCAAGGTGAGCACTGGTGATGTGGTGGAGAAAAGTGTTGTAGCTAGCTGTGATAGACGGGAAGGAGGACCAGCAAAGCTCCCTTCCTCATCATGAGCATGTTTTGCTGATAGTTTTTCTTAGGATAACTCACACGTACACCTACATGTTTTAATTACCTTTGCAATTAACTTTTTCCACTTAATCAGCCTCAGCTCTGAGCCACATTGCAGTGTTCACAAAACCCGGCTCACGCATGGAGCATAAACCCTGGTGGCATTAGGCGCTGACAGCATATTGCTTAATGCATCATGCAGCAGTTCAGGCATCTCCAGCTGTTTGGGAGTGTTTTTCCAGGACCGCTTTCCATAGGTATGAGCTGCTTCGTATGCTACAAGCCCGATGGTGGCTGTAGATGGTGGTCCATGTTGGCAGGACCGTGGGGAAGGCATAGCTCTGCCTCACCGACCCCAGGGGAGGGGACAGGACATGATGCACATCTCCTGTCTGCAGAGCTGCTGGAGACAGAGCCAGGCCCTCTCCGCCAGCCTATCCATACTTCGGACCGGTGCCATCAGCGAGATGTTTCTGATCCCACAGCAGTACTGGGACCAGCCAAAGCTGCAGCCATTGGAGCTCCGGCTCCCGGATGGCAGATGAAAAGTAAATACTCTCAGAGCAGCTTGCCAGTCCTGCTGTATGATTAAAAGATAAAACAAAACTAACTTTACCAGACCTTTCATCTGGCAGGCAGCCTAGCCCCAGGCATGGAAGGAAATCCAGCATGCTGGTCTGGACGGGAGGGAGTGATGAATCACAGCTCCTTTTTCTCTCTGGGTTCTTGAGGCAGAAGGGGACATCCCACCCCCATTAGCACCCCAAGTGTACCAGTAGCAACAGATGCCAACAGGAGAGGTTGTGGCATGGTAGGTGCATGTGGCTCTGTGCTGTGGGTCAGAGATAAGGCTGTTCGTAAAATGTACAGGCTGGTTTTTGCATACAGTGATATGACGGTTAATTGGACATGTGCACTTGTAAGGACCATAGAACACCTACGTGCAGAACTTAATGGGCCATATCCATATTTTCAATGAGTTCTAGGTTGATCTTTAAAAGCATTTTATAGGTGTTTCTAAAAGTTGCCATCTGATACCTTATTACCTTAACTTTTTTTTTTGTGCACTAACAGGCGCAGTATTTTATTATTACACAGCACCTCACCCCTCCAGGTCTGGAAGTATTTCACAAAGATTAGAGCCCTCTGCTTGTGTTAGCCATTTTAGGGATACATGCTCTGAATCACGCAGAAGGACCACGACCAAGGTTGCTATCGGGAGCTCTGAGCTGCAGAGCTTTGTTGGAGAGGACCTTCAGGAGGCGGTCAGGGAGGGGAGATTTCAAAAGTGAAAGATTGCAATTTGCTTCTCCATTACTACAGAAAAACACACCATTCACTAAATATTTTGTGATGGTTTTTAAAGGTCACTGAGGTTTTTAATTTGATATAGTGTACTAAAATGGATTTGAAAAAGAAACATAAACTATTATATGTGTTTCCTGTTGAACTCAGTGGCATGCAAACAGAAGGTTTTGAGTTACAGCAGCTTTTTAAAATGCCAGAAGCAAAATGGGTGGAAGCTGTATCTCCACTTAAGTCAATGGCAAAACACCCATTGCCTGTCAACAAGGTTAGGGTCTCACTCAGTAATTTGACCTGAACGGAAGATGCATCAGATGTACACTGTGTTGTGGCTTCATTCATCACGATGTGGCCTTAGCTTTAATCCTGTATGTTAATTCTCTAATCTTTCCTCAGAAAGAAAAGGAGATGTGTATCATGTTGGTCTTGATTCTCCAGGGCTTGCACTCACTGTAGTCCTTTTATGTTTGGCAAAGTGGATGCACAGTGGCTAACGGCTATGAGTGGCAGCATTTTGTACTCTTTTTGAACTGGTATGAGCAGCAACGCTGTTCATAGAAACTGGAGGTCGGGCCCTGCTACGCTGTGTAAACCTCACCCTCCAGCAAAGTGCTGTATGAAATTGTGTGCATTTATAATGACATTTTGATGTCTCCAGCCAACACTGATGTCTAAGTAAAACCTTCCAGAATTAGGGAAATGATATTAGGGCATATTAAGGCCCAGTATCTTAGCAGTAGAGACACACAGAAATTCCAGCATCCCTGTGCCATAAAATACTTGTTTCTAGATTGAGACTTAGAAGGTGTGACATAAGACTGCTTTAGAATAAACTATTTTAGAAGCTGTTTAAGGCATATACATTTAATAGTTACATTTTTGTTTTGTTCATTTCATAACACCTAGGCTCAGTATTTTCATACAGGAGCGAGCCAGATTTCATTGCTAGGCAAGTATCACTGGCCATACATCTTCCAAATTCACTTTAAAGCACCCATTAAGTAGTTACATGTAGGAAATACATAATACGTCCTCATGTATTTATAGGTAGAAATGGAGACGATTGTAAGTGATCAGATAATGTGTTACCATTCGTCAGCTGAGCTATATTAACTGGTGCATGTGAAAGAGCTTTTTTTTAATTCAGAAGTAAAATACATTAGTTTAAACTACTCTTCTGCACACAAACACACACACAAACATATAATGGGCATAAGTAAAAATGTATGTACATATACATTTAAACAGTTTCATGGGATGTTACACAACCCATCACTTTTTGTTAACAGTAATCAAGACAGGACAGTTTTCCCCTGCAGAATAGCTGCAGGTGAGGACAAAGGACTCTAAATGTTCTCTCAATACTAGCCATGCACTGCAGTTTTGGCTGTAAAATCTGATTTCTTTTGAAAACTACTTTCTGTTTTTACAGAGTTTAGAATAGAGTTTCAGAAGAGTCTGTACAAGCATTTAGAAATCCATTAGAAAGCATTTAGAGATGGAGAAAAATATTTTTCTGCCTATCGTCCCCCACACAGAAACTGTCAGTATCAGTAACCGCTAGTTCATTTCAACCTCAGTCTGTGTTAAATTATCTGGAATGACATCTCAGGAGTCAAAATCAGAAAGATCTATAACGCGTATTTATTTCTTAATTTTCAGGTTGATGCTTCTTGATGGATGCCTAGTTGAAAAATGGAAGGATCAACTAAACAAAAGATTTAAGGTAAATGCCACCAAAGAAAAGAATGCTGATGTTCTTGATAAAAAGTTAAACACCTTTTTTCTACTTCTGCATTGAATAACTTGCTTGACTTTCAGATATCCATAACACCTCTGGGTATTATTATTTTCACTTCAACATTTTCATACCTCACAATTACATGGAAGTGTAAGTGAAAATTTGAAAATTTTAGTCTTGCGTTTTAGGGTCTCTAAAATTTTATTTCTATTTTATTTGCAAACTGTCCCTAAATAGGATGATTGGATGATCTTTGTGTGAACTCTGGCTTATTACAATAATGACTCTAGGAATTTCTTTCATATCACTGCTAAGGCAAGTAACTGTCAGATATGTGATATGCAGATGAGTATATAATCCACATTAGGTAAGAAAGGAAGTTAAAATCCACTGCACTGGATAAATGGGCTTTGCTGCATTAAAGATTGCAAGCTGGAGACACAGACTGCTCACCAGTTACTTCCCACTAAAGACCCACTGAAAGTATTTGGCACCCCCTCACCGGTTTCAGGGAACATTGGAAGGAAAAGTCTATAGTATCGGGACCTGGGAGGCAGGGGCAGCAGATGCCCCTGCTTTTTGGGGCTTCAGGGTGGCACTTGCTATCACTCCCTGCTTGTAAACTCCTCTTTATAATGGAAAGAAAGGGTGTATCAAGACAATGTCTGACTCTTCCTCACACTTTTAGAGATGGAAGAAAGTTATTTCTGGAATTAATAAAAGGTTTCAGGTATAAAAGGTACATAAAAGGTACATGCATATTTATTTTAATTATGAGCTGATTGGCAACTGATAGAGAGGAGGAAAAAAGATGCACGTATCCGTCAGTAGAAGCTTTTAGATTACAGACCAACTTCTTGCAGGAAATTGTATTTGATGCTTTTATCATTCCCTTTTCTCCTCGCTTACTTACTCATTAAACCTATGTGTGAAAAAGAAAACGTGCTTTAAATCTTTGAAAAATAAATACATTGCAATTGCAGATGATACCATGTGGGGCTTAGGAGAATACTGACATATGACCTGGACTCTTGAAATCCCTTAGCTGTCAACTTAATGGCCTGTTACTGGCACACAGTGTGTTTTAGTGGCCTCCTCACACTGTTTTGTCATTTCTGATTGTGTCTTGCAACTTGTTTCAACATTCATTTCCAGACTGTCAAATAGATGCATGACTGCCAAACAAAATGCTTCTCAAAGCATGTGTCATTCCCTCTGATATTAATAGTTGCATAAATTACATCCTCATTTAAACATGTTTGAGTGGGACACACCTCAATTCCTAGTTTTTGTTTTATAAAGATGTGGGAAAGATAGCCAATATGGAGATAGGTGTCACAGTGGCTTCATTTTAATGCCCATCATTAATCTCTGAAGACTTGCATCCAACTTTTATCTTGCGTTACCACTTAAAATGAAGGTTTTGAGCTGTCTGTGGACCACAGAAGACAACTGTTAACATAACCACAACATGGATGGTCTCTTCTCTAGCCAGGATGAGAGTCTGAGTTGCAACAGGGTCAGTGCAGAGCTACTAAATAGGGAAGCTGGAGAGCACTTATCTTGCTCTGATCACTGGGCAAAGCCCCTGCCTTTGGGAGTTTCAGAAGAGAAAGATCCTTAATAGAGGGGAGAGGCGAGACCCTTTCCAGGTTCTACTATCTACCTTTCTTTCCTTAAAATAAGTATTTCTTTTCCTGGAGGTGAAAGACTGCAGTCTCTGCTGCAGTGTTGAGGATCTCTCTGTATTTTGGACCACCTAACCACTGAACCTCACTGTAAAAACCTGTTTTCTAACCACTGCACTTTCGGGTTTGGAAATCTGACAGCTATTCTCTTTGGTGGGCTCTTTGATCTAACTGCTTTTCAAAATTTCTCAGGGATGCTGCTGAATAAAGCTGCAGGTGCATTATTCACAACCATCCCATTGCAACTCCGAACACTGTGATTTCAGTGGTCATCTCCGTTGCCTATCTGTAACATAAGCTCTTTCATGCCCAGTCCTCTCCACCCCAAGGAAAAGCAGAACCAGAAAGTAAACACCACCTTCCCTTGTAGCTGTGTGTTTAAATACATATTGTGAAAGGCTAGTCTGCTTCCTGCAGACTTTTCTGAGGAAAAGTCAAGTAGCATGTTCAGTAAGACAGCAAAGAAGGAATTTGCAAAGGAGTCCCAGAGTGCAGATCCTGTCTTTTTGATGGCAGCTCCCCTGGATTTCTGAAAAGGCATGAGATGTGCACTCACATGCAGCATGCACGTGAGATGCGCAGGTGTCATTTTCATCAACTGGTATTGTGCAAATTCTCCCACCCAAGAACACGTGGCAGGTTCCCCCTGCAGACAGCCATAACATACTGACATCAATGGCCCTGCAGGACAGAGCACAAAACGTTAAAAGCAGCACTCGTATCAGTGGTTCAGGATAGCAGATATCAGGTTCTTTGATTAAGACATAATTATTTATGATTATGTCCTTCCCTATCTCAGCCTTTTTGTCTTCTGCATTTCCACAGAGATGGGAACAGAGACTGCAAGAACAAAAGCTGCGAACGGCCCGCAGTAAGAACCAGAATGCAGGACGCAGTAGTCGGAGTGGAGCCCCAAAACCATCAACAAAGAACACCAACCCCCTGGTCAGTGGCCCCAAAAAGGCCATTAAAATAAGAAATGGCCAGAAAGAAGTCAACCCTAAAAAAGTATGAGTGTGAAATTTCCAAAAGGAAAGACTTCTGCACGATGAGGGTCACAATCTGGCTTGGATCTGGCTTGGTTGGCATGTTTTATTAATCCAGAACTCATTGACTTAAAAACTCACGGCAGTTTCTACCTAGACGTTTTTGCTGCACTTTACTTTTAAAAGGTTTGCTTTTCCTTTCAAGCCACTGCAAGCCATAGAGCATAGGTTTGCACTGATACGTGGTAGGCATATTCAAGCTGACTGAACCTTGGGCTCTGATTTGCAATTCTAGATAGATCTAGCCTTGGCTGCCAGAGGTTTTAACTCCTTATGCCGGTTGCCTGCCCTGCTTCCCTGCCAGAGGTTGGAGAGCTGCATGGGGCATCTCTTCTCTCCTCAGAAAGTGCACTGGTTTAGTAGTTGGCGAGTTAGTCTTTGAGTTAGTCTGGTGAGCTGAGAACCGTGGCAGCTGAGGAGCAGCAGAGGATGGTAACCTCTGGCAGACATCTGGGGCAGCAACCACTGCAGCTGCTGGAGCTGAATCTATCTGCTGCTTGGAATCACAGCCCTTATTTGGAGCATTCAGAAGCATAGTTTGCCAATCAGCATCTGGGTATGCATTACGTGATTATTTTTATATGCGTGCCAGAAATATGCTTACAGTGTTAGTATTTGATCTTGTGGGTTTGTGTAGCAAAAATGCATTGGAAGCAGACATTTAATTTTTTTTATTGTACTTCAGGCTGGCTTCTGTTGTTATAATTTCAAATATATTTAAGCATCTAATTGAAAAATCAGTATTTTTTAAAAGGACAGATTAAAGTGAAGCAGATCTGTGGAATTCTTAAAAGTAACAAGTAACACTTATGTTTGCTGTAATATAGCTTTGTTATGAAAACTGGAATAGCATTATTCTAAACATAACTGACAGCTACTGTACAGTGTTAAAGAGAAGATAGGGCTTCATGTGGCTCAGTGTTCATTTGGATAATTTTTTATCATTTGACACCATATTTCTAAATCTTTCTCTGATACCAAATAAATAAATAAATACATACATAAATATGTTTTGTCCCTATTCCTGAACTTCTCAAAACAACTGGCTGTCTGCAGTTTTGCTGATCAGAAGGTAACGTTTACCCTGCAAAGGGTCACAGACGAAGCAGATGCTTTTATTTATGTACTAAGTTTTACTGACAATGTTTGCCGTGTGAGGTATTAAAATAGCAAAAATGATATAAATCTAATTGATGGCATTTATGCTATTCCTGCTCAAGCTCTACCTAGATAAGGCAGTATGGCCAGCACAGTCTGATTTCTGTTAACACATAAGAGGATCACCTGCGTTAACATTGTAAGAGCTCATGATAGACGTGTTAAAAGACTTTCAAGAATTCCTACAACAAAACTAATGACTAGACTTGGCAATTCTGGTGTCTGTAACACAAAACAAGCATTTCTAAAATAGAGAGAGTCTATATCAGAAAAAAAAGGGTTCTGTGTAGGTTAACATGAAGACTTACAACTGGTCATATTGATTATTACAAGAATTACAGTGAAATTTGCATGCATGAAATTTAAGACAGAATATGCTGGAGTGATTTTGGTAGCAGCAGTAATATACTTGGTAATAAGCTAACACAAGCTGAAGACATGGATGCCAAGTTAGAATGCTTAAAACAAAGGGATAGAGGTGTTAGAGAAAAATTGAATAACAGCATATAGGGTAGTTCAGGGGGAAAAAAAACAACCCTGATCATTGGTTGAGTTTTGAGCAGTTGGTTAAAATATGCAAAGGTCAGCATTTTAATGTAGCCGTTCTTGCTAATTCTGGGCAGATGCAGAACTTTATCTTCATGGAACATCTGCAGAATTAGATCCAAAATTCAATCCTGGTGCCAGGAACGCTGAGCATATATTGCATCTGTTGACTTTAGTGGAAATTATGTGTATTTGACATGTCTAAAAAAACAGACCACAAACTTAGGTGCCGAAATACAGACGATAGGTGAAATCTTAATCCTGTACAATGAAATAGAAAAACTGAAATCGACATCAAAGGAGACAGAATTTCACTGTAGGTGACTAAGTTACGTGAGTTTGAAAATGCTGACTTAAGTAAGTATGATCTAAAAGATCAGTATGATTGGAACGCTTCTAAAATAGTTCTATCATCTACTGTGTAGCAGAAGTACTTAAGCTTTGATTACCAACTGATCCCAATTTAATTGAGTCACCATCCCTGGAGGTATTTAAAAGACGTGTAGATGTGGTGCTTAGAGACATGGTTTAGTGGTGGACTTGGCAGTGTTAGGTTAAGGGTTGGACTTGATGACCTTAAAGGTCTTTTCCAACCTAAACGATTCTATAATTCTATGATTCTAAAGTACCCCAATAAATATGTAAAAGGTTAGCTACTAAAAATGAATGACAGTCCTACCAATGTGATGTTGAAATAAGAAATACCAAAGTTGTGACACTTCACTTTAACAAGTTTTATTGTGAACACTGTCAAGTGTGGTGTTTGTTGAATGAAACCTTTGGAACAGCTAGCTAGACTTCATAGCAACATTACATATTACTATACAACTGTTAAAATCAAACTTTTTTTATTTTTTGATATCAGAGAAAAAAGTGTAAAAATTATTTTCTACAGAGAATTGTCACCATTCCTTCTGTAAGTTATTGTCTTTGGACTGAGGATTCCAGTATGTTGGAATAAACTTTTACGCACCAAGCCTGGTGTTTCAAAAATCCTTGGCATTTTTATGTATGCTTTATACTGACTAACTTTCACTCTGATATGGTAAAAATACGGAAGAAGGAAAGGCAATACAACAAAAAGCAGGGGATATCACAACACAAAGAACAGATGTGCAGACAGGGGAAACGAATTAGTAAGGTTTCCCTTACTGTTCTCTTTTGTTTTCCCAAATCCACTTTTTTCTACTTTCTAAGAAGCCATGGGTCAACCCAATTCAACACTAATATAATTCACTTCATTTTGAAAATCCCTTACGATTATTAACTCACTGCGACACCAAATGCTGGCTGAATGCAGACCCAGAACATGCCCGCCCTCCAGCCCTTGTGAAGGCGCGAAACAGCTGTTGGAGCAGCGAGGGCTGTTCGAGCAGGCAAATATTTCCTCCCCATGTGGCCCACTCACCACTTCTGCTCCCCAGCATGTGGCAAAAAGTCAGACTCACCTCTCTTCATGCACATTCATGGCCAAGTGTAGTCATTGCCGTGCTAGTGCACCCCAGCACCAGAGTCATGAAAACTCAGTTTAACAGAGTAGGCAAATAGTCCGCTGATGGACAAAAGTAATTACTGTGCCTATTTACAGCTGAAAAAATTAACAGGCCAAAACTTGAAGTGTCAAATGTTATTTCTCAGTGTTACAGCTGAGGGACTTGGCATTTTTTTCACATAAAATAAAAATTGCCTGGAACACCGAACAGATGTTTCTAGTGCATTTCTTACTACCTCCCACACAGATGTACCCAGTTTAGTAAGAAGTGCCATTGAATATTTTCACTGAATGTTCTAACCTCAATTCCAAAAGAATGAAACCTGAAAAAATATTTACTCTAATTGTGAATAATTGGCACCATTTTAGAAGGTCACTGTAAATAAAAATCAGAACTCTTTTATGAACCACATTTAAAAAACTGTCATAAACCCCCCTCCAACAGGACCTGAATGTCCCAGTGACTTTAATTCAACTCAGTGTTGCAGCTCTGTTATTTTCATCCAGTTATTGCATATAACTGAGAAATACTTCCTGTACAAATAACAAGAACATTTTCCAGTCCAAAATACTCAAACAGCTCTAAAATTATTTTATCCAGCATTGTAACCTAGATTCCAAATTAATGAAACCTGAAAAAATATTTACTCCAATTACGCACAACCGACACACGCTTTTTGGTTGCGCTTAGTAGTTGAACATAAATGCACATCTGAAAACGTTTCCTCAACCAGATTTTTCTGGTAAACCACATCAGCCCCAATTAATTTTGTAAATAAATATAAATCCATCAATATGGGTCAACAAAGATTCAAAATTGTGTTTCTATTTATGGTAAAAAACAGTAACTTGCAAGGACCTACAAATAGGTATTTAATTTCTATAGAGGTATATTACTGTTACTTCTAATTAGACCTAGTCAAAGCTCTACAATTAATTTCAACTGCTGACAGTATATTTCTTTTGTAACATGTCCGAAACTGAACACCAGCCTTACTGCAAGGTGAAACAGGATTCCAAACTTGCTTCTTAGAGACGCAGTAAATTCAGGTGATTCCAGGTAATCTATTAATATCAGACTGGCTCTTGTTGTTGCTGCCAAAAGGCTTGTGGATAAACCAGTATGGCAATAAGCATAAAGGAAAGCACCTGGAAGGGAGGACACACTCCTTTTCTCTAGAGGAGAATACTATTTGGATCAAAACCCCAAAGTACCATAAATACGTCAGACTGCGTATGTTAGAGATAGAAGGTTAATAGATGCATCAAAGTGATCAAGAGATGGCCTGAACAGACCAAAACCCTAAGTATTTTGATTCCTTCTGGTTACAGTATGATGAAAACTTTAGTTTGTAGATACTCAGAGCACATCCACATTTATCCTCTGAACAAGGTAATCAGAAAGCTAATCATTTGCTCCCAAAGAACTGTGGATAAATTTAATAGATACTTGCGAGGTCTGAACTGCCAGTGTAGCTCATTCAGCAGAGAAAGCTAAAGAAAAACAGTGCAGCGGTACACAACCACAAGCTGATTGACTCCATCTTCTTGGCAGGGAAAAAAGCTTTTTCCCCACTTCTCTTATTTTATTACGCAGTAATTCAGTACAAATACTCACTAAAATCAGACATACTAATTCTTCTTAAACATTATTTTGATATTTAGAACCAGCTTGTTTATCATTCTAAACTGAAACAGATCTTTAATATAGGCTTAGTGTCAGATTATGATTTCATTAAAGTTCCTAAACAAGGAAATATGTGGTCTGTTGT